ACTCAGTACCTTGGTCTGGTGGTCTGGTGTCCTCTGCATCTTTGTAGTGTGGAACCAGGTGGCTGCCTGTCTGCAGCGGGGTGATTTGGTGTCTTCCGCGCGACTCAGGACCTCGGTAGGGCATGCACAGACCTGCCTGTCTGCAGTGGGCTGATTCGGCGTGTGTTCAGTGCGACTGGGGACCTCCGTAGGGTGTGCGCAGACCTGCCTGTCTGCAGCCGGGTGATTAGGCATCTTCCGCGCGACTCAGGACCTCGGTAGGGCGTGCACTGACCTGCCTGTCTGCAGCTGGCTGATTCGGCATTTTCTGTGCGACTCAGGACCTAGATAGGGCATGGGCAGACCTGCCTGTCTGCAGCGGGGTGATTCGGAGTGTTCTGTGCGGCTCAGGACCTAGATAGGGCATGGGCAGACCTGCCTGTCTGCAGCGGGGTGATTTGGCGTCTTCCGCGCGACTCCTGCACTCATTTTCATAAATAACGTGACAGAAGGTCAGAAAGATGAGTGACTTGGTAGGGTCACCCAGCAGGTGCGTGGTAGAAGGGGACTCATCTCGCACCAGAGTCCCCAGACCTGAAGGCCTGCCTCTCCTTCATCCACTGACCTTGCTCCTGCCTCCCCCTCTATCACAGCAGCAGCTGGGGCTACAGACCCCTAGACTACCCACCTGGGGAAGAGGAAAGGAGCATGAGGGAGAGAGAGGAGGGGAGAGACAGAGTACAGGGGAAAGGGAGGCAGAGAGAGAGGGAGGGAGGGCTGCTAACCTCTGCAGGCTGCGGGAGCTCCCCCACTCCTGTGCTGTAATTGATACTTTATAAAATGTGACTCTGCCAGTGGCTGAAGTCCCCGAGCCTGGAGTGCCAGCAGCTGCGGTGCTGAACGTTTAGGGGCCCCATGAATTATGCTCGACCCAGCAGCCAGCAGGCACAGGCGAGCTTGCTGTGGAGTCTGGATGCCCGATGCGCTGTCCTGCGGTCACTGTCCTGGTCCCTCTGCTGGCCCCCTGCCCCGGCCTGGGGTGCCTATTCCTCCTCCCTCTAAGCCCTGTTCCTCCTGCAGAGGGCCAAGCCCAGGGTGGGACCTCAGGGGCTTGTCTCTCGGCAGAAGTGATCAGACCAAAGGTCCCTCAGGAGTGTGGGGCCCAGGTTTCCAGCAGACTGCCTGCGTGCAGCCCCCTATTTACCCAAGGGCCGCGGGGGACGGGTGCTGACTGCAGTGCTGTGGCAGGGGACTGTGCCCGATGCCAGTTCCCATCTGAAATGGGCCACCATGGGAATATTTGCACCTGGGGAATGGTTCATCCCCACAGGTCAAGGGTTTTCCTTTGTTTCTCTTTTCATTTCGAGAGGCTGATCCTGACACAGCCCCGAATATTCTGAGTCCAGCTCAGTGTCACTGGCTCTCAGTTGCTGCAGTAAGGGACCTTCAGGCAGTCAAAGTAAACATTCTGCCAAGGATCATTCTCACCTTTAGAGGACACCAAGTACCCAAGAGCAGGGTTGCTTAGAAAATCACACACCTGCTGATAAGCCATAAAGTGCCTAAAATCTCCACATGTTCAGAAACAGAATTTGGAGGCATTGTAGGGACACTTTTTTCTCCTAGTCAATGAATTTACAATAGTTGTCATTTATTTTAAAAATACTGCCCTCAGAGCTGTGCATGGTGGCACACACAATCTCAGCACTCAAGAGGCTGAGGCAGGAGGATTTCTGTGAGTTTGAAGCCAGCCTGGACTACATAGTGAGACCTTGTCTCAAAACAACAGCAAAGTCCACTCTTGCACAGAGAATACTGGCAGAGAAATCCAGGGAGCCACATTTCCCTGGGCTCACAGACCTCCAGGAAAAAACGGAGTCTCAGAGGTGGTGATGGCCTGGCCCATGCCTTGCCCCTGCCAGCTTCATCAAGCACCTCAGCCTCCAGGATGCTCCACCCTGGAGTCAGGGCCTGGCAGAGCTGGGACCATGGGCAAGGTCCTCTCCTGCTGCCATGGCACAGGTCAGTGGCACCTCAGGGCACTTCACGGGCAGTTCCAGCCACTGCAACCACAGGACCCTGGTTGTGGAGCCCAGGCTGCCAAAGTGGCTCTGGGTCCCCAAGGAGTCCCTAAAGGACCTGGGAGAGTCCCCTCTCCACCACGCCCTCTGTTTCCCAGAACAGGGGTTCTGTGGCTCCGCGCAAGCCCCACTGGGTCCTGCTAGCCCCATCATTGGAGAACCCAGCAAAGAGGAAGAGCAGAGGGCAGGAGGGCGTGGCTGCTTTCTGGGGGGTGGGGACTGCAGGGTTCCTGCTGCGTGGTGCTGGTGACTAGATTCATGCAGGAGTGGCCACTCCAGACATGAGGTTTGCAGAGGAGGACCCCTAGGCCAGAAGGTGGCCCCACCTGTCCATAGGTGACTGAGACCCTGAGAGGTGCTGTCCTTCCTTGTCCCCAGGGTTCTCCATGTGAGAAATAGGCCCCCTGTGAGTCTAGATTCTCTCTGCAGTGCCAGTGAGAAATAAATAAGGCCCATCTGCTGTAGATTGTGCGTGTGCCACCAAAAGTCAGTACCTTGGGGGGACATCAGGGTTAGACCAGGCCAGGAGGTGGAGCCCATGTGTAACAAGAGACACCAGAGTGTGTTTCTGCCTTTGTGTTTCTCTTTCTCTCTCTCTTGCTCTGCCTGTCTCTGTGTCTCTCTGTCTCTCCTTGTCTCTCTGTCTCTGTTGCTGCCTGTCCCATCCCTCTCCCCCACCTGCCACGTGAGGACACAGAGAGCGACAGCCGCCTGCAAACCTGGGAGAGCATCCTCCCTGGGAAATTGAGCCAGCTGCCCACTCTTGGTCCCGTGAGGAACAGGCCTGGGCTGGGCTGCCCAATTTGTGGTGCTGCCTGGGCAGTGGGGCTCAGATGCCAGCAAAGCCGGGCAGACAGAGGCAAATCTTGCCTCCCCTACAGAGCAAGGGGACAGTGCTATCGTGGCATGCAGCAGGGCCACCCGGGCAGCACGGGGCATGGAGCTGTGTGGTAGCCAGGGAGGCATCGGTGGCCCTAGAGAGGCTGGGGGTGCCTCAGGGCAGTGGGACAGGGTGGGTGGCTCCTGGGGCTTCCCAGCAGGTCTGATTGGCAGTCGACAATCAGAACAGCTGTCGATACTGCTAGGTCCTGTTGCCTGGGCCGCTGTGTGGCCCGGCTTCCTGCATCCACCACTGTGGGCATGGTCCGGGTCCTGCTTTACATTCTGTCTGGCCATCACCTGAGTGCCCATCCATTCTCTTGCCAGGTCCCTTCCAGTTCCACTCAGGTACCCCAAGGACCCCACCCAGGGGCTGAGGAGGACAAGGGAGGAGGCAAGGGGCCCCTGATGTACTGCAGTGTTCAGGCCTCTCATGGGTTGCAGCTCCTGGGATGGTCAGACAGGGGACAGAGGATCCAGGTCCCTGAACACACAGGGAAGCTGGAGGCTCAGGCCACAGATGAGGAGGCACAGTTGGGAGCCTGGAGGGGCCCCTGTCTGCCATGTATCCCAAGAGCTGTTCTAGAGCTGGGGAGGATAGAGGGTCTTCCCAGCAAGAAGTGGGGGAATCTGGGGGTTGTGTCCCATTCTGGGCTTTCCAAAGCAGAAAACACTCCTTCCTGTGAAAGCCTGCAACTCCAGTCCCTGTCCAGGACAGAATCCTGTTGGAAAGGGGGCACCAGGAGCAGCTTCCTCCTCAGGGAGGCCAGGGAGCTCATGAGGACCCCGGGGAAAGGGGGGGACCAGTGTCCCAGCCCCTGTGGCTCTGCTGTTTAGAACTTCACCTCTGCTCTCAAGTCCTGACCGAGAAAGGTGGCCAGGAAAGCTAACCCGGCTGGGTTGACGGGACAGAGCTGAGTCAGGGCAGCTGCTCAGGGATGTGGACGTGTCTATGCAGTCAATCCCTGGGCCTCCAGGCTGGGTGGTGTTTACATCAGAGTCACTGAGCTCACAGCACAGTGAGCAGACGTGTTTGCAGCAGTCAGCGCAATTTTCTGACATTTTTCTGTGGACAATGCTATGGCCCCCAAGGACAACCATTTCCACTCAGGGTTGGGGCCCTGCTCTGCCTCCCTGACAGCCGTTCAAACATGACTGCTCTTCTGCTTCTTTGCCTGACTTGGTCTGAACACTGCCGATTGGTCCTGGCCGGTATTGGTCCATGCACACCAGGTTCTCCATGTGCCGGTTTTGGGGGGTCCACGAGTGCCTCCACCGTGCCCACTCTGGGAGGCAACTCACTAGTGGAGGAGCAAGAAAAGAGTCATCCGAGTGGTAAAATAATGTTTTATTCCATGAATGAACAGACGCTACCATGCCACATCCCCACATCCCTCTGACCAGGTCTTGGGCCAGAGCTCGTGTCCCCGTCCGGGCCTGAAACAGAAAAAGCACAGCCAGGCAGCGCGCAGAGTGGTCCTGGTGCCAGCACACTGCTTCTCCTCATGAACAGCCGCGAGTCATCTCCGAGCCACCCTGGGATGGAGCTCCTCCCACGGGCCTGGCCAGAACTGGTGCTCAAAGCTCATATGGATGGAACAAAACCCCTGACACCATAAAGTGTCGTGGACACTTCTCTGTAGACAGGTTGCCAAGGACACCCCCAGCAGGTCTGGAAGCTGGAAATCAGGTTGTCACCAAGCCCAAAAGGAAAAGATGGCAATTGATATATTGCAGACTAGCACTTCTAGAGTCCAGATCAGCCACGGTGTCCACATGCAAGGGGGGACATCACAAACGCTGGACACACATTCCTTTCTTATATACAACAAAATGAAATATACACGGGGGACAGCAGCTGTACATCCGGTCAGTGTGTATCCTACAAGGCCGACAGAGACCAGTGTTGCACTTCCTGCCGGTGCAGAGGGGAGCATGATGGTGCATCAAAACCTTTGCTTAGGGTTCCTGTGACCGAGACCAGAGCTTCCTCAGCACACCTGGGGGGACTGACACTTTGTCTTTTTATGATTTTTAACCACATGTCATCAGACAAGACTTGACAGCTTATCAAGGAGGAAAGGACAGTTTCAAGGACACGTGAACAGACAATGTTGATCTACAGACAAACCCTAATGCAGCTCAGTGGGAGAGAGGATTTATTTGTTTCCTGTTACTGGATAGTACTGAATGTTTCCCCATCAATGTTTGAAATGCCACCACCAAGTCTGAGGACAATGGGGAGGAGGGAGCAGGGACTTCAGACCTATTTCTCTATACAAACAAATGGCAGGTGCAGAGCAAAACAAAGCAGAGAGAGAGAGAGAGAGAGAGAGAGAGGAACAACAAAACAACCCCAGGAGCATAGACAATGCTCATCAGGTTAAAACATAGAAAAATATGAATTAATTCTAGATGGCTAACCATTAGCATAGCTACAGTAGTACTTTATACAGAAAGGGTCTGTTTTCTTGCTGCAGCCCTTGGTTGATATCCTAATTACAGGGAGGGGCGGGCCAGGCTCTGACCACGCACTGCCTGAATCCTGGGCTCTGTGTCCCCATCCTGTTTTCCACAGCAGAGCTGTCCAAGGGGGTTGCGGTGCACCCGAATGTGGCACTGAACGCAGAGGGGCAGGGGCTAATGCTACTGGTTGGATGCTTAAACTCAAGGGCTGGCTTCCTGGGGCTCCAAGGTGGCCCTCACTGGCCTCTGTCCTTTGCTGTGTCCCTTGGGGAGGGCTGTGGGATGTGCTCGTCACTGTGGGGCCAGGAGGAGGCAATGCTGCTGCATGGGGGTTCCAGGCTGCGTGGGGTCACATCTCCCCAAGCCGAACTGCCTTCCAAGTCTGAGACACACATGCTAGGGAAGGTCCGCACCTCCGCCCCACCCACTCTCAGAGGGAAGAGGGAGCGGCAGGAGATTCCGCTTTGCATATTGTTGTGGAGAGAGCCATCTGTGCTTAGGGCTGCCGGGCAGTTAGTCCTCCTCCTCGTCCTCTTTTGCTGTGGCTGTCAGGGGCTTGTCCTGCATCCTGAAGCATTCCACGAAGAAGTTAATGATGGTTCGGTATAGATGCTGCTTGAGGGTGGGGCTGTGGAAGTAGTGGCTTTCGTCCGGGTATATCTGTAAGGAAGGCAGTGAGAAGTTATCACTGTGGTCCACCCTCCAGGGGCACAGGGGAAGGGTGGATGTAAGAGAGGGAGCCTAGACCAGCCCAGGCCCACTCCCTAACCATTTCAGCCTTCAAATAGGGACCTTTGGCCCAAGCTCTGCCTGCTGCAGTAGGGGCCGGAACCTCTGGTTACAAAGCTGCCAGTCTGCCCAGCACCTCACCTTTGCAAGGGGCACAAGGCGCTTGGTGACAGGTGGAATAGGTTAGAAAGCACCTCACTCCCTGTCTAGTCTTGCCTGTCTGAATCTGCATCCTGGCTGCACTGCCTGGATCTACACTGGAAGAATTTGCACGGACCCAGAGTCTCTGTTGTGGGACTTTGCACCCTGGCCCCACAACACTCATGTTCCTGGGCCTCAGGCTGTGTGTGTGACAGGTGGGAGGTCGCTCCCAGCAGAACTGGACCACAGCGTTCTGTGAGAATAAGGTGCAATTCCTGTAGAGCTCTGAGAAGCTGAGCATGGGCAGGGTGGCTCAGAGGCTCATCTCACAGTCTGAGCTCAGTGCAAGGCTTGGAGGATGTATTCTATTGCCAGCACTTAGCCCCTGAATACTGTTCCTGTGCACTTGGACCCTCAATGCCATCGGGTCATACCTGTTTTACCAGAGGATCCGGAGTGCAAGGGGGAAATGGAAGAAATTTTCGGCATCAAGTCAGTAGCAGAGGCCAGCGAGGCCTGGCCAGGCCGTGACGGTTGTGGGTGGTGCTGGGACTCTGTTGTGGTTTATATCTATATGTGCCCAATGCCTCATGCAGCCACAGGCTGGAATTTGGGGAGGTGACTGGATTATGGGTCATTGCTGCTGACTTGCTGTTGGGAGATAAGGTCTGGTCAGAAGAGATGGGTCACTGGGGCATGGCCTGGAAGCATTACCTCCCCTCAGACTCCTCCCTTCATTCTCTGCTTCCTGTGGCCATGGCCCTCTGCCATGCTGCCCAGCCTTGGAACCTGCTGACTATAGACTGAAACGTCTACAAATGGTGAGCCAAAATAAGCTCCTCCTCCTGTAAGCTGCAGGTGTCGGGTATTGTGCCCTGTGATGGGAAAGTGACTAGGACAGCTGCCCCGACAGTGTCAGGAGTCCTGAGCGGTGCTGCACAGAGCCAGGAGGCTCGGAACCACGGGGGTGTGGGCTGTACCTGCAAGCTGTAGTTGGCTTTCCCCTTGATGAGCTGTGTGATGAGCTCAGCTGTGTGCTGGAAGTGGATTTTTTCTGTAGAAAAAAGCAAAAGAAAGAGGCAAGTGTTTGTCAGCACCATGGGACCCTCTGGGAGCATCCTTCCCCCATGGCAGTGGCGCTTGGTCCTCACCGTCCGCAGTGGCATGGATGAGCAGGAACTGCTGTCCCTCCAGTGCTGACACCCGGTGGGCCACCTTGGTCATCTGCACAGGTGGGCAAGGGGACAGGGTTAGTGGCTGCAGGAGACATGGTGGAGAAGTGGACACAGCTAGAAGTGTCGGGGAAGCATCAGTCCCGGGAGAACAGATCTCTGTGCCACAGTGAAACCTGACGAGAGCAGAAGCCTCAGCTTCCCCTTCCTTATGCAGGATCCTCTCAGGTACCCAAAGGGCTGGGAGGAGAAGGGAAGAAGTAGGATTCCTCCGAGGACAGCTGGCCTCTGAGGACCCTCCTTTCACCTGGAAATGGCACCTGAGCAGACACAGGGCTTCTGTCTACAAAGGAGGCTCAGCTTTAAGGACAGTCTTGCTGGCCTGCGTCTATGTCCTCTGTGCACAGTTGGGAGGCCAGTCTGACCTCTCACTGGGTCACTGATGGCTCAGTGTGGCCAGGAGGGTGAGAGGAGCTTCTTGTCCAGTGTAGCCCGCCCTCCGGAGGAACACCCAGCATCTCCTGGGCCAGGGGCAGACACCCAGCCCAGGACTTTTTCAGCTTTCTCCCTTTGCCTGAGTCCTGCCATGGGGACAGGTGGCCCAGAGAGGGGGCAGTCCCCAGGGGTCTTAGCCTTCATGGTGGGAAGGCATATGCTCAGGCCAAGCGGGTGTCTGGGCTGAGTGGGGCCAGTGGGTGGAGAGAGGGACAGGGGAAGGTTGACCCATGTCACCCAGTGCCCCAAATGGCAGTTGTGCCACACGTACCTCATATGCCCTGTTGTCGAGTCCGTGGAGGCCCAGGTACCGCTCAGAAAATGCAGACGCTGGACAGAAGCAGAGGGAGGGTCACCTTGTGCCCTCAAGACACCTTGTGTCTGGATGTAGCATGCAGACCCTGGTGGGTAGAACTAGGGTGTGGGGGCCCCTGACGCTTGCATGGCAAATGCTGGCGTTAGCAGACATCATCATCTACTTTTCTCAGGTGTGTGGGTGATCAGATAGAATGCTGGTAACGTTCAAATGTGTTAGTAGTGGGAGATGGCTTTTATCAGGACGGCAACACTGGAATCAGACAAAACTGAACTAATCCACTAATTAGAATCCTAAACAAATGGGACAACACCCCCCCATTTCAACATGATTTGTAGGTGTTAGGAGGGGCATGGCTTTGGACTCAGCATGGACAGGGGCAATTGACAGGGGGTTCAGTGTGGACAGGGGGCACCCAACAGGGGGTCACCTGGAATGGAGACAGAGGTGCTGAAGGGAACAGGGGCCCTGCTGTGGGCAGTGCCCATGGTCCCCGGTGGCCATTACCATAGAGCTTGAAGTCCGTGATGGGAGAGAGAGCCGCGCCACAGGTGAACATCCGGCCTTGGTTCTCCCCCTTGGCAGGGAGGATGTAGGTGCTCAGGTACCCGCCATAGTCCTGGGGAGGAGCACAAGGGGGAGGAAGGGAGACTGGAGCCTGAGTCAAGTCCGGCACTCACCCAGAACCAGCCTCAGACATGGGAAGAACAGAGAATTAGGCAATGGTTTTGTGTAGTGTTTAAGTATTTTTGTAACTGTAAAGTTTCTTCCAGGGCAGTAAGTAGAAATGCAAGGGAAGCTCCTTTCCAGCTACATCCCATGTGCTGCGAGGTCTCCGGCTTCTGGGCACAGCACCAAGGGACAGAGGACACCTGCACTGTGGGGCATTGCCCAGCACATACGTCCTCCAGCACCCTCTGTCCGCAGACAGATTCGAGGGAGGCCAAGGCCAGCACATCCAGGTCAGGCACAGGCCTGGCGCTGCCACAGGGGCTGAGTCCTCCAATCCTGTGCTGCCTGACCTTGGCAAGTGGATCCCCGAGACCACTTTACACCATCTTCTGCACATACCTGGTGTTGTTGTCGCCAGCAGCAGGGGCAGAGAACCAGGGAACAGCACTGGGTAGCTTGAGGCAGGTGTGTTTCCAGGAGTGTGTTGCGTGTTGTGTATGTAGGCACGTATGGATGTATGAACACGTGTGTGAACAGGTATATGTGTATGTGTACATGTATGTGTGTGCACATGTGTGAGTGTGTGAATGTGTGTGAGTATACAGGCATACGATGCGATGTGAGTATACATGAATGTGTGAGTGTGACTCTGTGTGCCTGTGCCACACCAGGCCAGGCCCCATATGGGTGGTGGGTGGAAGTAGCTGAATCACCCACCCTCCTCCTGGTCTCTCTGCAAACACAGAGATGCCAGAGATAGACGCCTGTCTCCCCATTCTGGGTTTGAGAGCTGCATGAGTCTCAGGACGACTACTGTGGAGTCTTCTCCAGCAAACACAGGGTTCCTCTCCCCTCTCCTCCAGATACAGCATCAAGAAGCAGAGATAAGTAAGCTAAACCAAGGAGAGTTCCCATCGCTGGAATCACTGAGCCTCAACCTCTTGTTCTTCAAAACGGAATGACAATTCTGGGAGGCTGAGGCAGGAGGGTCATGATTTTTGTTTGTTGGTTTGTTTTTTGGTACTGAGGATCGAACTTGGGACCTTGCACTTGCGAGGCAAGCAATGGAAACACTAAGCTAAATCTGCAGCCCTATTTTTTTTTTTTGTAATTTTTTTTTGTTTTTGAGATGGTCTCACTATGTAGTTCTGGCTAGACTTGAACTTGCAGTGATCCTCCTGCCTCAGTCTCTGAAGTGCTGAAATTTCAGGTGTGGGCCACCACACCCTGCAGCAGGATCACAAGTGAGCCTAGCCTGGGTAATTTAGCAACTTAGACTCTGTCTCAAAGTAAAAAGTAAAATAAAGCTGGGGATGTAATTTAGTTCAAAGGCCCTAGGTTCAATCCCCAGGACCAAAAAAAAAAAAAAAAAAAAAATTGTAGGAGACATCCCTGCCCAGTACTAGCAGGCTATGAATGGCACCTGCTTCTTGGGTTCCATAATTCAGCTATATTGTTTCATATCAGGAGTCATAAGGAAGCTCTCTGTGACTCAAATGTGCATGTCAGGTGGTGGACTGGACAAGTATTGCCTCTCCCTCAATGACTTCTACAGAAACCTAGGCCCTGGTCTGTGAAGTGGCAGGGCTGTGCTGAGTTACGTGCAGCTGAGGTCAGCATGACCCCAATTAAAATCCTTTCCTGTGAATTATGGCTTCTCACTGACCCGATGGGTTGCTTGATAATTGCACTCAGTTCCAGTACCAGTTTATGCTATCCAAGCAAGATAATCAGTGCTTTCTCCCCAATAGCCCTGTCTGGTACCATCATGCCAGGTATTTGACAGTGTTTCATTAGATGCCTTCAAAGCATATCTGGCTCCCTATTCCTCCCCACAATTGTATTTGATAAATACTGGATGCACTTGGGAGCCTTTGTCTTTGCTGCCATCAGCAGCACTGATCATGCCCCAAGACTCAGCTTCTTCACTCTAAGTCTCATTTCTATCTTATTCTTTAATTACCCTTGTGCTGTAGTGGCTCACAGGAGGCCAGGACCCATGGCAGAGGTTCTGGCAATGTCCCCTTCCCTGTTCCCTATAAAAGGGAAGGACTCATACCCCCGACCACAAATGAGACTTCCCAGTGAAGCAGAAGGAGCCCTACTAGGATACAGCCCCTTGCTCCTGCACAGAGAGGCCTCTAGAAGAGGACAGTGAGACTCACCTGTCCAAACACAGCCACCCGAGTCTTGTCAATGTACTGCTCTTTCAGCATTGTCCTGTAGGCCAAGGAGGACAGGAAGGGTCAGGGCCCTTTGTGGTGGGAATTTGTGTCCCCAAGCCTGCCGCTCCACCCCCAATCATTTCAGGCACAAGAACTGTTCTTTATGACAGAGGAGTCTTGGGGTGCTGACACAACTGCCCATTGCTTATTCAGTGCCCAGCATGTTTCCAGACTCAGAGCAACCTGCAGCCCCTCTGTGAGACTCCTGGGCAGACACAGCACCCCCAGAACACAGGGCCACCACTGCAGACCTGCCCCTTGGACCACCCACTTAGAGATGTGACTCACAGGCATACGGGCTGTGGGGTGGTCCTCCTGGGCCAGCAGCAGCCAGAGGGGCTCTGGTTCTGGGCCAGCCAACTGCAGAGCTCATCCCCCATGGTGTCCTTGTCCCAGGTCCTGGTGGAGATCCCTGTCTCGTCCTAGTTGGCTACAGACACAGTGTCCAGGAGTTCCCTTTCCTGGCTCTGCCTGTGGGAGTGACTATCCTAGTGTCCAGGCAGATGTTGCTGGGGTCTGGTATCTTCCTCCACACAATGTCCATGTAATCCTCATGGTGGTCCCCCGTGTCCCCATAGTGACTGGATGCTGAGTCTGCAGCAGTCCTGCCACCGGCTGGCAGATGCTCAGTGAAAACCAACTGCTTTCTGAAATGTGCTCCTGACCCTAAGACTGCCGTTGCCCCTGACCTTAACCCCGAACCTCTAACCCTAACCCAAAGTAACTCTCATTCTAACACAATCCAACCCTAACCCCTATCTGAACTCTAAACTCTCAGCCCTAACTGTTATGGCTTGTACCTAGAAGTCCCCCAAAGCCTTATGTGCTCATAGGTGGGGCTTTTTGGAGCTGGCTGGATCTAGGGTGTGTGATACTGGGATTAAGGGTATATGGTGCTCAATTAGCCCACTGATTTTAATTAGTATAGTTCTGGGTATAGTTGAATGGATTTATTGAATACAGAAGCCCCAGAAAAAAGGCTTGTAGCAGCTGGAATAAAAGGGAAAAGAAAGAAGGCAAGCTGGCTACTTGCTGCTAGCTGCTGCTGCTTGTGCTTCATGTCTGCTTTGCCATGCACTGTTTCTCCTTTGCCATGTCTCTGTGTCATGCTGCCCTGCCTTGGAGTCAGCTGATGATGGACTGAAACCTCTACAAACTGTGAGCTGAAATAAACCTTTCCTCTTTTAACATGTGGTTGTTGGATATTTTGTGACAGCAATGAGAAAAATAACTAAAACACTAACCCTAACCAAACCTTAACCCAAATTTAACCCTAACCTAATCCTAACGCAACCCTAATCCTTACCCTAAATCCCAAACCCCAGTCCTAACCCTAATGCAACCTTAACCCTAACTTTAATCCAACTCTAACCCCTAACTGTAACCCTAATGTAACCCTAACCCTAATTTTGATGCTGACCTTAAGCCTGACCCTAACCCTCACCACAGAGCCTCTTGCCCTCCACCCACTCTGTCAATCCTGTCTCCTTCCACTACTTGGGGTTCCTTTCCAGTTCCTCCTTCCTGTGTTCTGTCTTCTGTGGGGAGCCCGTCTACCATGTGTCCCCTTCCCAGACAGATGGGATGTGAAGCTTGAAGCTGGCCCAGGGTGCCTGCCCCAGGACCTGGCAGCCTTCACATTCAGGACAGCACTGCTGTTGCTGTCAGAGGACAGAGACACAGGTTCGGGGTGGTGGTGGTGTCCCAGCATGGAGTAGCAACGCCCACGGGCAGCTACTCCTTTGACTTCTGTGTACGTAAAAGTACCAGTGACTTTTGCATCCTCACGGTACCATTGCTTGTATTAATATAATGGATTTCCCCAGGTTATTCTGAGTGCACAAATTGCTGATCAGCAATCCATGCACACTTATGCCTTGGTTTAAGTGTGAGTCCTGTCTGAGAAGACTGGTGGAAAGCAAGGAAACAGGGAAGTGGCCTCTTTCTCCTCTATCCTCCTCCTTTTCCTCCTCCATTTACTGGTATCTGCTGCTCGGAAGGGCTCCAGGCAGGTCTTGGGGACTAACATTGAGTAGTTTCTCCAAGAGATCTTGACTCCCAGAAGCCTCTGTCCTCAGCAAATACAAGGATGCAGTTTTCTTGTCCAGCACAGACCGTAGTTCCAGGGAGTTCTAGATAGAAACTGTTTTCATCTAGATTTCCTATCTAGCCAGAGTCTTATAACAAGTATGGGGACAGAGTAATGATACTTCAAACATTTCCAGCAATAGGAAGGAATGAATGAGTGAAAAATAAGACATATTTCCACGATTGGCATAGGACCCGGGGTGTGTGTTTGAACGCATGTGGGTGCTGTGCGTGTGTACTGTGTGTCTACTCATGTGTACTCACAGACCCAACAAGGGTCAGTAGTGACAGAAATTCCAGGTTGAGCTCAGGGACACCCTGTCGCACTGGAGCAGAAGGGTAAAGACTGTGGTATGGGTAGACAGCAGTGCCTCATTGGGAGTGGAAGAGACCAGCAGAAAGCCGACTGGACTAATGCCACAGTGGGGGACTCCCAGGGAGCCACAGGGGACACAGACACCTACACACAGAGACACACCCTAGGTCAGTGATGGTGAACCTATGGCACACGTGCTTCAGTGGGCCATTTGTTACCATCGAAAGCTCCAAAAGGTTTGCCATCACTGCTCTAAGTCATGCACACCTGCATCTGCAAACAAACCCTTGGTTATGCACACATACCCACACACAGGCCCGTAGGTCACAGGCTGGCGAGTCCACCTATCTGGACACCATGAGTACTTTCTTCAAGTTCCTGAATTTCTTCCCCTTCCTCTAGTCCCTCCACACAGAGGTCTATCCGGAGACGTCTGGTATGTTCTGGTATAGCCAGTTAGGTCAAGATCAGTCAATCGTGCCAGCAAGGACTCTCTTTCCCCAGGACCATGTGTCTATCTAGGACACATGTGCCAGGGACCCGTGTGGCAGGCAGTGGAGACCATGGATGGAGTGAGTTGGGGACTTGAAGCACAGGGCCAGCATTTTGGACTCCATTCCGACATTCAAAAACCTCCTGTCTTACTGTGGGCCAGCTCCTGGGTCTGTGGCCAGCCCTGCCCCGGCACCTGTGCCTTGTAACCCTGGAGAAAGGACACAGACCTGGTTATGACCTCACCGGGAGGGGTCTGCCGTCTCCCACACCACTGCTTTTCCCGATGTCAACTACACCTCTTATCTCATCACTGTACTTCCACTAACCTATGGGGCAGTCGCCATAGATGACTGTCCTAGGGGAGAGGGCCCCCCAGTGAGGGGATCTGGGCCTGATGCAGGGTGTGCTCCTCATGATGGGGTGCGTGAGGACACTAAGCAGTGACCCGTGCTGACCAGGGCATCTTGTCCAGTGAGTGCTGAGCTCAGGCTCAGACCAAGGGGGAGGGAGGCCCAGATGACTGGACAGACGCCTTCCAGGGGCCTGATACCTGCAGCCTCCTGGTGGCATCATGAGTCTGAGGTGGCACTGGAGCTATGGGACATGGGGACCCAGGGTGGGCAGAGGTGGGTTGGAAGGGGATAGAGTGCCACTTCTGCTCACGTTGGGCCAGGGAGGGCACAGCCCAAGGGCCAGTGTGCTCTATACCTGCTGGCTGCTCCTGCCCAGGGGAGGGAAGTGAGATCGCTGTCCCCTCCCTGCACTTCCCACAGGCTGTCTGCCCACCTAGCGCTCCTGCCTTCCACGGCCCCGACCCCCTTTCCTCTCCCTCTGGTCCCCCATGGCTGGCCCATCCACCCCGCGGGTCTCAGGGTGTCTAAAGCTGGCCTGTGTGCTCCCTGGCCTCCTTCACAGTAGACTCTCCGGAGTGCAATCCCCCATTTCCTATTGGCAACTATCTATCCTTTCGTCCTTAAAGATCCTGGCCCCAGGGCTGGGGATTTAGTTCAGTGGTGCCACTGCCGCCGCCTGCCTTGCAAGCACAAGGTCCCGAGTTTGATCCCTGGTACCAAAAAAAAAAAAAAAAAGATCCTGGCCCCAGACCCCTCCTGGAAACTGGCTTGTTCAGTTCTGAGGACTGTGCTGCAGGTCTGAGCGGTCCCCCTGGGCCACCCCATAGGCCTACATCACTCCCCTCTTTTCTGGCACAGGGGCCTCTGCGTGGTCCCCAGTGATGGGGAGTGGGATCCTGGGGGGGCCAGGGGAAAGGGCAAGGTGAGGGAGATGGAGGATTTGACAGGTTAGGGAGGTGTGGGGCATGGGTGTGATTTCTGGTCTCACCACATTTAACCTTCCACTAAAACTGCTACTGCTCCTTTCAGAAGGAACATTTCCTAAGGGAGCTTCCTCAAGGGTTCTCTGGCAAGAGACCTTTGGGTGCCAGCATCATTTCTGATGGTCCTAAGAGCAGTTGTCCTGGGCTCTTGTGCTGTGAGCTTCTGTGATTCAGGTGACCCCACGACTGTTTTCTAGAAGAGATTCCATCTTGTGTTTGAACACATGCTGGGCCCACTCCTCGGGTTTTGATTTGATGTGGGCCAAAGAAGCAGCCTCTTGCCCTGTGTTCCTGGGCTCTCAGGGACCCGTGGAGCTGAGGGCCACAGGTGAGCTTGAGGGTACCTGGGATCCACTTGGGCCCCCCAGTGGGAGGAGTCAGATCAGGTGGTGGGAGCAAGAAAAGGACCTACAGTGCCCCCCACAGGCTGCTGGCTTGGCCATCCCCTCCCCAGCTTGGGTCCCCCAGATTCTGCCCACAGCATCTCCTGTCTGTAAGACACAGGGCTTGAAGGTATCGCTCTATCTGTCTTCAACAGGCTCATAACTCCGATGGAGAGACGGCCTCTTAGCTGCTCACTCTTGGATCCACTTAAAATCATTTGGCACATGCAGCCATGTGCCCTCAGTCTTCGATGGACAGGGAGACAATGATCTGAAGAGCCAGTGACAAACTCTTCTACGTGGCAGGAGACATGAGTGCCAGGCCAGTGCTAAGACCTGCTGACGTGCACATTCTTTGGGGCACCTGTCTCACTGGCTGGGCTCTGTGTTCTCCACACATGTACCCCATCAAGAGTGGGGATGCTGTTGTCATCATGGACCCTGTCACGTGTGCTGCCCCTCCCCTCTCGTCACCCCAGGCACCTGTGTCTGTGCCTGGTAGAAGAGTTCTCCACCCATCTCTCTGAGTCACACTCAGCTCCCAGGCCCTGTGTAAGCCCGAGGATTGCAGTAGCCTGATGTGGGTTCACCATGGCCTTATTTCCAGGCAACAGTGAGATCCAATAACTGCCTATGAGCACCCACCTCTCAGCACCGTGCTTCGTCTATCCTCGGGGCCCTGGGTGGGTCTTGCTGGCTTGGTGACCAGGATGTACAGGAAGATGCCTCAGAATCCGGATGCGTTTCTCCCCACTGCCCAGATGTGCACAGTAAGGGGGGACCCTCTGCTCCCTCGTATTCTCTCTGTCCTTCCTTCCCTATGGCGATGACTGGCAGAGCTGCAGGGGCTCTGGCCAATGCCAGCAGCCCCAGCACAGGGACCCCTGCTCACCGCACGGCCTCCATCTGGTCCTTCTCCTCCAGCAGGCCCAGCCGCCTCCTCACTTCCTGCAGGAGCTTGGTGCCCTGGAAGCCGCTGCCTCGGCCGTCGCACTTGATCACCATGGCCCCGTGGCTGCTCACCAGCACCGTCTCCCATGTCACCTGGAACCTCTCGGCCACGTTCTGGCTGCCTGGGGTGCCGTCCCTGGAAGAGATGGTTGGGGCCTCGAAGTGCAGCCAGCAGGGCTGTTCTCAACAGAACACTGGGTGTTAAATAAACCCCAGCCCAGAAAAGGCCTTGGGAAGGTTTCTCTTTTCATTTTTATGCAGTCTAGGGGATTGGACCCAGGGCCTTTGCATTGAGCTACATTCCCAGCCCATTTTAATGTTTTATCATGAGACAAGGTCTCAGTGAGTTGCTAAGTTGTGCAGGCAGGGCCCAAACTTGGGATCCTCCTGCCTCACACAGAGGTTTTCTAACCACGTCCCTTAACGACAGGGCTACATTCTGAGATGACGCTGTTAGGCGATTTCGTATGGGACTATCACGGAGTGCACTCACACGCGCCAAGACCGCCCGCCGCGGCGTCACTTGGTGATGTAATCTTATGGGACCAGTGTCATCCACATGGCTTGTCACTGACTGAAATGCCGTGACACTTCCGCCACTGCATTTCTTCTTGGAGGGGAAGGATGCTTGGGGAGAGAGGGCCCTGGGCCGGCCACAGATGGCCACGGTCTCTTCCATGAGCGGGGCTACAAGGACATGCAAACCCCCTCTTCTCTCCAAAATCCGGCCTTCTGACAGGACTGTGGGGTACAGGTGATGTGGGGGTGCTGGGAGGAGAGAGCGTGCAGCCCAAGAGAGCTGCAACCAGGGGCTGGAAGCCAAAAGGCCTGTGTTCCATCATGAGACTGCTCTCCGTGAAATGTGGGTTCTGTTTCCTTTTGCATGTTTTTTTTTGTTTGTTTTAAGCAGGCACGACCAGTTTGGTATCTTTGGAGTCTTTGAATCCCCAAATCTCCTTGCTGTCACATTTGAGTCAGAGCAAAACACAAACAATCAGAAAAACTTGTCTTGCGGGCTGGCCCCCAGGCAGGCATCGGCCCATCTGCACGTGTGGTTCGCTTTGGCTGCCCCTGACTGCATTCCTCCTGCCTCGGGTGCCCGCCTCAGCTACTTCTGGAAGGAAACCGAGTAGCTTTGTAAACCAAGAGGCTTTTGTGGATTTCCTTTATGATCCCTGGAGATCCCTGAGTGCAGGGAGAAGATGGCTTTGAAATCTGTAGGTTTTTTTTGGTTCCGGGGATTGAACTCAGGACCTTGCACTTGCAAAGCAGGTGGCAGCACCACTGAGCTAAATCCCCGGCCCAAGTCTGTAGTATTTCTTAGAATGTGAGAATCTGGTGTGGCAAGGGAGAAAAGAGGTAGTGTGAGAATGTGTGTGTGTTTGGGGTATGTGGATGGCATGTGCATGCATGCATCAGGAGGTTGTTGGCATAGTGTGAAGTCAGTCCCCATATCAAGGAAAGTGGGTTAATGCTGTGATCTATGCCATGGGCATCTTTATAACCAAGGCTCTTTGCAACTTAGGGACCAAGCCTCAGGACGACAGCAGGGTGAGTTGTCAGGGTCACCTGGAGCTCCACTGGGAACCTGGCATTCACTCAGGGGCTGACTCCTGATGTTCTCAGAGCCACTGCAGTGCAGGCTTCCACTCTTCTGGCCCCCCAGAGGCCTTGTGGGCTCCGTGCTTCCTTCTGCTCCCTGGGTCGGGGAAGGGCCAGCAAAAGTGGACAGGGGCAGGGTGACCCTCTTAGTGACCCCTCCCTCCACGTGCCTCGGGTGCTAGCACCTGAAGCCCCTCTTGGGGTGCCCGCCTGGGGAGGTGCCTAGCATGCTGAGAACCCAATCGGACTCCACACCTTCTGGGTGTTGATGGAGCACTCGACAGTTGTTCTCGAAGTCTAAACACAGACCTCCAGCCTTCTGGCACCTCCTGCACATGGAGGGTGCTCAGGGCAGCCTCTGCGAGTGACAAGCCCACTGGCCCAGCCTGCCTCAGGGCCAGCCTGCCTATAAGATAAGGGGCCGTCCTGGCTCCCTGAGCTCCAGCCACTGCTTTCTCCCCAGCCAGCACTGGGAGAGCTTGCCGATGCAGACAGGAGGGCACGGAGCCCCCTCTCCTCCATCTGCTGGGGGTTTCCAGGATTATGGAGAGCACCTGCGGAAGATGGCAGCATGATACTTACACCACCAGGAGCAAGGGGTAGTGGGTTGTTTCTGTGAATGTGGCCGGCTTCAGGATCTGCACCGGCAGGTCTGGGGAGAGACAGACACAGGCAGGTCAGGGCTCAGGGACAGTGGTCGAGGTGTACCTGTGTCCCCCAGTGGGGACGGCCATAGACACTGGGGAGGCATGGGTGGGAAGTCCACAGAGTCATCACCGTGACTCTGGCAGGATGTGTGGCCTTGGGCATGCCATCCAACCTCCCTGAGGCTCTGTTTCCTATCAGAAGGATAAATTCAGCCTTGCATGCAGGAGCCCAGGGAAACCAGGATTGTCAGGCTGTGGAAATCCACACAGGGAGCAGGAGGCCCTGAAGTGTTAGGCTGCTACAGGCACCACATTCTGGGGCTGGGTACTTGGGAGCAGTGGGTTAGGGGAGAGGAGGCGACCAGGGATGGGGGCTGAGGCTGGGGACAGGTAAGAGTACGCTGAGGATCTCCTGGGTCAGCCTGGTGGCTTTGCAAGTTGGAGCTGGGCAGGCCTGGCTGTCTGCTGGATCCACACAGAGAGGATCCTTGCTCCTGCCAGGGTCACTGACTTTGGTCCTTGGGAGTGTGAAATGCAGAGAGGGAGGAGGAGAGGAAGAACCAAGTGTCAAGAAGTTGCCTCTCCTTAGCCATATGTGGTGGTGTATACCTGTAGTCCCAGCTCAGGAGGCAGAGGCAGGAGGATCACCATGAATTCAAGGGCAGCCTGAACTCTGTAGCAAAACCAAGCTTCTTGCCAAGTTAGGATTTCCTTACTGACATTAATTAACTACAACCTAGGTTTCTAAGCATACACTCTCAGGCCTGGCAAGCTTCTCATCCATGATCTGGGCTGAACTTTAATGGCTTGAAAATTGTACCAGTGGCCCAGGGGCAGGAGAGGCAGGCAGGGGACTTTAATATTTAAATATCCATAACATGTGTGTGAGGTGCTCTTGGCCCTGCAAGACAGGGGAGGTCATGTTCCAGTCCCTGCTGCCCACTGCTGCCTCTGGGGGCAGGAAGAGCACAGGCCCTGGGACACAGCAGCCTCCAAGTCATTGTCCAGCATGTGGAGCCCTGCTGGGGACAGCCAGTGGCTGGAAGGGGGCTGCGACTTGCCCCTGCTCTGGGTGAGAGGTGCTGTTTCAAGGGGGTGCACCAGGATTTGGAAACCTGCTGGGACAGTGGTGAGCAGAGCTGGTTGGAAGGACTTAGGAGCTCGGGAGGAAAGTGGTCCATGCTCCAGGGCTGGGCAGAGCAGGGTGGGGACGGTCCCCACAACAGGAGCATGCTTCTAGACAAAGCAGCCTGCAACAGCCTTGCTCTGTGGTTTTAAATTGAATGCTCCTCTGACTTGGGGAACCCTCCCTACGCAGTGAGTGTGTGTTCAGTGGAGTGAGGATGGGTTCCAGCAGAGAGTGGCTTCATGTGGCCAAACGAGGGAACCTGGGTGTCCTAGAGTGTGGGCAGGGGACAGACTGTGGGGGCCACCCTCGGCCTTTCTGCAGGGGAGTCCTGGGCAGCATCCTGAACAGTGTCCCTCTTGCCCGTGGCCCTCCTTTGGAGTGCATCTGTCCTGTCCTACACCTGCAGAGAGCCCCTGCAGGACTCCGCCCCAGGGATGCAGAGGTTTATGGCTGCTGTGCAGAGGTGGGTGCTGGGCAGGTAGCAGCAAGGGCTGTTGCAGCACTGCTCCCGGGGTTCCCAGGTCCTGGGGTGAGTGCTGCTTGCCGGATGGACTTGGGAGTCTCCCACATGGAGGTGAGAGGTGCTGTACTGAGAGCTCAGTGCCTACCCTGCAGCCAGGAGGTGGTGCCAGTCCATGCCGGGGTCTGAGCATCTCCTGCAGAGCTGGTGTTCACAGACATGGGCACAGGGATGGGTGAGCAGCCAGAGAGGGACACAGGCACTGGGGCAGAGTGACAGACACTCCTCCAGCTGTGGCAGCACACACCTACCTCAGGATGTGTCTCTCCAGCTTCAAGAAAGCTGTTGTTGGGCCGAGGATTTAGTTCAGTGGTTACGCTGCCTGTCTCAAAAGCGCAAGGACCCGAGTTTGATCCCCGGTACCAAAAAAAGAAGAAAGCTGTTGTTGCCCATAGTCAGCAGGCAGAGGCAGGAGGCTGCAGTTGTGGGAATGTGCATGGGTGTCCTTCCCAGGGTGGTATGCAGACACAGCCACCAGGGAGAGTTCCGGCTGAGATCTTACTTAACTCCTCGCCCTCTCTGGCTGGTACTTCCTGTGCCCGGCCATCAGGGCTGACTGGGGATATCTCAGAGCACACCACCTGCTTTTCTTTTCTTTTTAAGTTTTTATTTTTATTTATTTATTTATTTGGTGCTGGGGATTGAACTCAGGACCTTGTGCTTGCCAGGCAGGCAGTGGAACCACTGAGCTAAATCCCTGGCCCAACATTTTATTTTGAGACAGTCTTACTAAGGCCCTAAATTGCCCAGGCTGAGGCCAAACTTGTGATCCCCCTGCCTCAGGCTCTCAGAGTGCTAGGATTACAGGCATGGGCCACCTTGCCCAGCTTGCTTTTCTTTTAAAGGGAAAAAGAGTTGTACTTACTGTAGTCATCAACCTCGATTCTGCTGTACTCTATTTTAGGCATCTGTCGGTCACTGACAGCCTTCTGCACATGTTCATTTGTTTCTAGGTCAAAGATCTCTGAAAGAGAGCAAGCAATGGCACAGTGAGATTCAGTGATGGTTCCCTGAGCACGAAGGTTTTGATTCCTAGCCTATCCGGGAAGTGGCACTCCCATTCCTGTTGCATCTCAAAGCAGGAGCTTCTGCAGACCAAAGACCTGTGTCAGGTTGCCTCTGCCCATAGATGCCTGGTCTCCGTGTTGTTGCACACTTACACATGAAGACTTCGGTCCGACCCACCAGGAGAAACCTCATTACTTCTCTGTGGACGGAGACCCCAGGAACCAGGGAAGGGAGGAAGACTGTACACTGCACTGTTCATTGAATTTTCCCAGGAAAAATGGACCCAGATTTTGTGCCTTAGATACAAAGTTGTCAGGTCTTTGCAGACCATAACTGGGGTGATTATAGCTGAGGATGTAAAACCTCAGAATGACATGTCACCACGGTGTGGTGGGACTGGTTCTTCTTCTGTTAGGCAACCCTGTGCCTGTGGCTGAGCCTTTCGGGGTCTTATCCCTCAGCTTGTGAGGACACACGAACTCCCTCAAAATGAATGTCTCTTGTTGGCTGGAAGCGCCCTCATCACTCCCACCACCCATCACAGGTGGGCGAGCTGCCTCATTTCAGTGGCTGAGAGGTGATAAAACCTTGGCATTTCTTGTCCTTTCTCACTCCGAGTTTACACCTGGGGAGACTCGTGGTGCACTGTGAAAGGGAATTTTATCTTTATGGGACTCCACTTTTGTGGTTTAGATCTAGGTGTCCACAAGAGCCTCCTGTGCTTACAGGTGGAGCATTTGGAAAGTGATTGGATCATGGGGCTTGTAGCTGATTGCTCTTAGGAGATGTAGCCTGGTCAGAAGAGGTTGTCACTGGAAGTGTGGCCTCCCTTCTCTCTCTGCTTCCTGCTGCCATGCCATAAGCAGCTTCTCCTCTATCACGCCCCTCTGCCATGAAGCCAGCTGACTATGGACTGAAACCACTAAAGCTGTGAACCAAATAAATGTCTCCTCCTTGACATTGCTGGTGTCCTGTCCCATCAACAAAGAAAGTGACTAAGATATCCATCCACCTTTGCAAGAGCTATAGATGGTGAATGTTTTAAACCTGGGGTCCACAGTACCTTGGGATCCATGGCCCATTAAGAACTGGGCCACACCAAAGAAGGAGAGCAGTGGGTGAGTGAAGTTTCAGCCATATTTCCAGCCACTCCCAGAGCAGGTATCATCACCTGAGCTCTGCATCCTGTCAGATCAGCAGTGACATGAGATTCTCATAGGAGCTGGAACCCTATGTGGACTGCATGTGTGAGAGACCTAGGCTGCTGCTCCCTATGAGACTCTAATGCCGGGTATTGGAGGTAGGACTGAGGTGGTGATGCTAGCACTGGGGAGTATAATTATTATGGATTGCAAGTATAGTGCCCCCTTCCCTGTCTGTGGAAAAGCTGTGTTCCACAAAACTGGTTCCTGGTCCCTGTTTTAAAACAACTGTTTTTAAGAGGGAACCAACATCACAAAGTTACAGTGCAGGTCCAACCCATGATGCTCCCTCAGGTGTACCACTCTCCAAGGCTGCTGGGGGGTAAGTGATGGTGGCTCAAGTGGCTACATCTCTGCCCGAGGAGCCTCAAGAACATGGTGAGGGGATCAGGAGGGAGAGTTTTCATGCTTGTGATGAGTTAACCAAATAGAATTTAGCAGTAGCTGGACATATGGGCATGTTCACCTTCGATGGAAAGGCAAGGGGAGAAGTAGCAGAGGGAGCTGTCCAATAGGTAGAGGACAAACTAGCCCACATTTGGACCTCCCTGTGCAGGATTCTGCATGGTGCACACAGCAGGGACTCTGGGGGACACCAGTATCTGGAAGGGAGGAAAAGGCAGGAGGGTCTACACATGACCTCAGCCCTAAGACCCAGAGGACACACTGCCAGGCAGTCCTAGGTGAAGTCAGTAGGAATTGGTCTATGAGGCTTCATTTATTACCTGTGATTTTTGTTTTGTTTTGTGGTACAGGGTATTAAACCCAGGGCCTTCTTACTGAGCTTCATCACAGTCCTTTTTAAATTCCTTTTTGTAAATTTTGAGATAAGGTCATGCTGAGTCACTAAGTTGCCCAGGTTGGGCTTGAACTTCTAACCCTCCAGCCTTAGCCTCCCTGAGTGCTGGGATCCAAGGTGTGTATCACCGCGCTTGGTTTTATCTGTGTTCAATTCACATTTCTGGGGTGGAATATGAGAAAGAACTTCAGGATAATGAGAAGAACAGCATTTCTTCAAGCCCTTTGCTGCCTCAGGGCACTTGCTGCTCCCTACACTTGGAACCTTCACTGCTGGCTCTTCTTCCACCAAGTCAAGTGCCACCTTCTCAAAGAGAAGCCCTGGCCACCCCATCTCAGGTGCTCACCAACCTCTGCAGAGCTCAACTCCAAGTGGAAGAGTTCTGGGTGTTTGCCTGGCCCCACCCTGCATTCCCATCCCCCAAGGCATCGGTGTTAAGTCTCACCAGGGTCAAAATGAACTCATTTCCTGTAACCTGGCTCCATCAATTTGCAGAAATCCAATTCATACCCTGGAAATCAAGCATCTTTAAATGGTAGCAGAGACTGGGTTTCCACCAATGTCTTTCTCTTTATGTCTTGCATGGCCTTTGCCATAACCCCAAGAAGGTCTTGAAGAAATTAAACAGGAATGAGAGGTCCTCTGGCTGTCTCAGAAGAGCCCAAGGCTCTCAATGTTCCCAGAATCAGACTGCTTGAGAGGCAGCAGTTGGGGAAATGGAAGTCTGACCATCAGTCCTTGCTCCACCATAATGCAAACCCACACAAACTAAACAGCCATGAAGTTGACTGAAAAGTTCCAGGTGCTTGGAATTGTAATGGGAGCACAGCCTGACAGTCACTGATGCTGGGCTTATGAACCAGCTCACTGATACACCTGGCACTGTCATGGATCTTTCAGAATCCTCCTGAAGTCTCACCTTGCTGGAGGCTGTTATCGCCCCTGGGAACCTGTGACCTTCACCACTCTGCCTGCCCATGTGATCACCCAGGTGGGCAGCAGGAAGAAGGCTGAGGTGGCAAATGTGGGTCAAATTGTGCATGTGGAAAACCCATGAAGGTCAGTGGACTAAGCAAAGGAAATAGCTTCAGTAACAAGAGCAAAGATGGGTGTATTGCTAATGGTCAGCTTCTGCTGTTGAGGGCCTGTGAGGGCTTTGGACAGGGGCAGTGCTGGATCTGGACTAGGAAATTTAAAAATGAAGGGGGACAGACCCTCTCACAGTTCACTGTAATGACAAAGAGCACCTTAAGAAATTCATGACCATCAAACCAGCACTCCAAAAAATTCTCAAGGATATCCTAGAAAGAGACAATGAAGCCAGCAATGCCAAAAAGTCCAATGGAGTGAACACACAAGGCAGGGTGAGCAGTTAACCAGAATCAAGCAAAAAGGAATCAGCAACAGGAAAATAATGCAATGACTGGAACGAGTCAACGCCTTTCAGTAATAACTCTCAGTGGGAATGGTCTCAACTCCCCAATCAAGACACAGGTTGGCAGATTGGATCAAAAATCAAAACCCAACGGTATGCTGCATACAAGAAACACATTTTACACTAAAAAGAAATTCATAGATTAAAAATCAAAGGTTGGAAAACAATAATCCATGCAATGAGAGCCTCCAAACAAGCAGGAGTAGCTATCCTGTTTTCTCCTTGTGGATGCCTTTGACTGATGCTTCTGGCATCCCTCTGCAATCCCAAGTGCTGATCAGGAAGCAGTGGTTTAAAATTCAGCATGCAAGCCTGCTTTGTTGCCTGGTAAGCTAGGATTGCCACCACATACCCTGTTACCAACACTGGGACCTGGGAGTCCTGGCTTCCTGTGGGGGCATGAGATGTTCTAATCGCTCCTGGACTGCACAGGCTGTGTCTGAATAGCTCAATCCTGTCTATTGAAATCCCACCCTTTACTAAAGAGCACCAAAGCAACAGACTATTAAATTTAGTTAAATATTAGATTTCTCATTTAATGATTGCCCACACAACTGGTTTTATCAGCAGAGAGCTGGCTGTCTCACCAGGGAGTTGAGTTAAGCCATTTTATTTGTTCCCATAATTGCATTCAAAGAGGGCAGGAGCTCTGCGGAGAAATAAGAAAAGATTGGCATATTCCCTGAAGGACTCTTCTTTTGACTTCAGGGCAGTGGGGACCCCCAGTCTGGAGCATACAAATGGCCACTCCTTAATTAAATGTGAGCCCCTCTAATATTTGGTGGAATTAGCTATTATCAGATCTGGACACAGTGAGCCCACAGAGACCAGCGCCCGCTCAGGAGGACGGCTGCTTCCCAGGCTGCGAGGCCCACGGGCTGCTCCAAGACCTGCCTGCAATGGCCCTGGGCTTGGGAGATTGGCAGCAGCGTTGCCTGGTAAATTCTGGAAAATAGGGAGCTGGATCCTAATGGCAACCAAAAGTAAAAGTGCAGAGATTTGTGCACAGCCCCTCTGACATCTCCCTGTCCCACTGCCTGACCTCCCCTGGTGGGGTTTTCTGTCCCCTTCTGCCATTCTCCCAATTGCTCCTTCACGTATGCTCCCTCTCTCATGTCCACTCCTCACCCTGGGAACTGTCCCCACTCTGGGCCACCCTGCCCGGTTGTACCCAGAAACCAGATCCAGCCCAGTGCCTGCAAGGGGACCTTCCAGACTCGCCCAGGTCAAGGGCTCTAAACACTGTCGGTTGCATTGTGACACTGATGATTGTATAATATGTGCTAATTTTTTCCCCCTAGTATTGTTGACTGAACCCAGTACTTGTACTGAGCTACATCTCCAGCCTTTTAAAATTTTTCAATTTTTAGGTGACGTCTTGCTAAGTCACTAAGTTGCCCAGGTTGGGCTCTAACCTGTGATCCTCCTGCCTCATCCTCCCAGAGTGGCAGGCATTACAATCCTGTGCCACCATGGCCAGCTGGGCTGCAGTTTTGATGTGAATGAGTGATACAATAATTATGGCCTTATGGTCATAGGGAATGAGAAAACAACACTTAGAAAATTTTCAAGCCTGTAGGACATGAGGATGGAGTTCTGCGGGCCGGTGAGTGAAATGTGAATCAGAAACCTTTAAATGGAAGGAATCAAAGTGCTGTGATACTTAGGTAACCAGGACGACAGAATGGTTTAATTTTGAAATGAAAATGTTTTGCCCGATGCTGTAAATATACCCCATGTAGCTCTTTAAGGAGGATAAACTTGAGGTGACAACTTAAAAGTGTGTGAGGGGACTCAGGAGCAAAACACGATGTGGATGTTGACTCAGTTTACCTCTGTATGGAGCGTGTCTTGGTGCACAACCCGCACACCAATGCCGATTTATAGTAAGACTTTCTTTCTTTGGCCACCAAGCCACTCCTTAAAATGTCACGCACACCTGCCCATCACATCTTCAGATGGGGCTTTAATTAGGCACCAGGGCCATGCTTGACAAGACAGGCATGAGGTTGATGCCGTACTCTGCCTTTGGGAGGCCCCAGGTGGGCAGTGTCCCATGGGATTCATGGGACTGCTTGGGGTCAGTCAGTGGGTGTTGCTTCTTCATAATCCCAGCATTCTGGGACGCTGAGGCAAAAGGATCACATATTCCACCCCAACCCAGGCAACTTAGTGACTTAATGAGACTTTGTCTCAAAATTTAAAAAGATGAAAAAGGGCTGGGGGTGTAGCTCACTCTGAAGGCCCTGGGTTCAATCCCCAGTACTAGAAAAAACAAAACCGGCCTGGGGGGCAGCAGCAGAAAAACTTATCTTCCATGAGATCAAGGTGTTTGGTAAACAGGCAGCCCAGAGTCCAAGCTCCTGAATGTGCTTGCAAGATGCCACGGATCCTGGTTGTGGATGCCACCCCGTGTCCCTCTGCCAACCTGTGTGTTTTTCCCCGTTTACACTGGCAGCGGCCTACTGTGTTTTGCTGGCTTTCTACCACACCAATGTTGTTTGAAGGCCCAGGCACCAAATGAGCCTCCTCAATCCCGGCCATAATTACATTCTTAAGGAAATGCTTCTAAATAATTCAGAGTCACAGCTGTGAACACCCGCAGGCTCTGTTTGTAGAAGAGATTTTCAAGGTTGGGGGGAAGTCAGATATTCCCAGAGTGGCTTGGGCTGATGGGGTGGGAGGGGGAAGGACAAAGAGTTCTGCAACAGTAATTCCAGCCTCCACGAGGACCACAGAGTGGGCCCGAGGGCTCTGTCCCTGCCAGACAGCCCAGCTCCAGGCCTCTGTGTTGCCTGACAAGCCTGCCCCTTGGTGTCTGGCCCGCCTTGACCAGGCTGCCCCGCCTGGTGCGTTCCTATCACGCTGTCATGCTCAGGGTCCATAGAGGGCTCCGTACTCACCCTTCCTGGGCTGCAGCTGCCTGAGGCCTTCTTTAAAGTACAAAATTCCCTTCTGTGGACCAGGATGACACTTGGCAGTGTCAGAAGAAGGGTCACAGAGTCACGGCCACACTCGTCCTGTCTCAGCCTCCCAGAGTGCCTGGACTATGCATCCATTTTCTTAACTGACAATGAGCACTGTAACAGGTGGGTCTTCAGATACTGCACTGGCAGACTGTGAGAAGTGAGAAGTGGGTACCAGGGGAGATCTTCCTGCCCCTCCAAACCTCAGAGCCTGAAAACAAAATTGACCCTGGACAGGAGAAGGCCCCTTCTCTTACTCAGTTGTTCTCTTTCTGGCTATGCGGCTCAGGCTGACTCGAGGACAAGGGCTTCGTGATTTCCACCTCAGCTACATGGGACTTGAGGGCAGCTGATGTCCTCTGGGTTTGTGTCATCCATGGGAGGTCAGACCACAGGGACAGCCACGCAACTGGGCTATGAGGGGAACGTGCTCCGAGGAACCCTGCCCAGCACAGTGCGATGTGAACACCGCTCGGCTTCTGCTCACCAGCGCTTTGCACAGAGACAGCGCAGTGTGCTGCCTGTGTTGCTGCGCTATTAAATCTGGGAAGATTCTGTTCTTTTGTTCTGTCCTTGCTGGATGGAGACGGATGGGACACTGGTGTGGGGCGCCCCCCGCGTTCCTGGTGCACAAGGCTTTCTTTTGCCCGACGTGGTCCACCCTGCGCCTCCAGAAGGCCAAATCGACAGCCCAGGTCTACACAGTAAAATGCTTTTCCTCCTTTTTTTGTTTGTTTGGTTGTTTCCGTACCACTGATTGAACTCAGGGCTTTACACTTGTGATGCTGGCATGGTGCAACTGAGCTAAATCCCTGGCCCTGTAAAGTGCTTCTTAAGGATGTAGTGGCCCAGGCCTGTAATCCCAGCACTCTGGGAGCCTGAGGCAGGAGGATCACAAGTTCAAGCCTGGCCTGAACAATTTAGCCATTTAGTGAGATCCTGTCTCAAAGTAAAAAAATACAAAGGTCTGGGGCTTTGTGTGAAAACCCTGGGTTCAATTCCAGTTCCACGGGGAAAAAAAAGACATTGAATATTGTGGAGCCCTCTATGGACAACACATGACAACAGAGGATCTCCAGTTGGCCAGTGCTGACTGGATCGATGGGTTCAGGAGCCAATCAGTCCAACAAGTGACAGGAGTGGTAATAAAGCATCACAGAATGTTGGGACATTTGCATCCTGCAGGTGCTGGTGGCAGTTGGTACTTTCTTAGGCAGACTCTTCCAAAGCATTGTACCCTGCTCCACATACATTGCTTTGTTTTCATCCATAGAATAAGATATTTTCTCAATGGTGTCACTCATATCTGAGACATAGATTGGTCTCACTGTCATTTGCTCCTGTGCCTTGGGAGCTCAGAGGACTTTATCCAGCACTGTGGAATGTTTTCACAGGTGGGAGTAGTCACAGCCAGCCTGGAGTTACAAAGCCTTCTCCAAAAGTAGGGACTGTATTGATCAATATTCCCATTGCTGGATATGACACCAGACACCCTCTACTTAAAAGAAAGAGAGTTTAATGTCGCTAATGGCACAAGGGATTTAGTCCATGGTTGGCTGGGTTCAAGGCAGGAAGATCATAGTGGAAGGGCATGAGGATGAAAGCTGTTCACATCATGGCAGCCAGGAAGCAGAGAGGGAAGGAAAGGCTGGGGTGGGAGATAGATTCTTCTAGGTTGTGCTCCAGTGACCCAGCTCTTCCAACCAGGCCCCACCTTCTAGCAGCATGTTCAGCTATACAATGGATCAACCACTGATGAGTATAGCACCCCATGATCCAATCACCTTTCAAAAATTCTGCCTCTGAAGAATAAGGTTTGGGGGACATTCAAGATCTAAACCGTAACAGGCACTGTGGTGGTCTTTGAGGCAGATATGTCAATAATAGCATAACCAAAAGGAAGCAAATGAAAACATTTAAGTGAACGGCTTTTGTAAGAGACACATGCTGTATGTTTAAATGCCTAGAGATAGTTTTGTGTTTTTTTCTTAGACTGTAGCCTTAAAAAAACAACTGTTTTTTGTTTTGTTTTTTGTTTTTTTGAGACAGGATCTCTCTGTGTAGTTTAGGCTGGCCTCAAACTCACTATGTAGCCCGGGCTGGCCTCAAACTCATGGTGATCCTCCTGTCTCAGCCTCCTGAATGCTGGGATTATAGGCATGTGCTGACATACCTGGAAAAAAACAAAAACCCCAAACTTTTAAATTGGAGATAAAATGGCTCACAGAGTTGTGAGTCCCTTTACCCTGCCCCCCAACCACAGGTGACATTGGCTGAATCCAGAAACCAACATGGTCCCTGTGCTGTCACTGCATACCTCAGTCACTTTTCACCAGGCCACTGGTTTTGAAGGGAAAAACCTCCCAAATATACTCTTAAATTTTAACAAGCATTCAAAACGAACAGTACACATTTTCTTAAGGAGAAACGAAAGACTCTGGAAGTTCCAGCTCCTGGAAGCACGTTTCTCCCATCCACACTGGTCGGACCCCTTGGAGCCCACTCTGACCCACCTTATGGTAGATCTTTGGGCCACAGCATCAATTTTAGCGAGCACCCTGCTCAGCCACCTCGGTAGAACCTCCCACCCTGATGTGGGTCATGCCTGACTCCTGACCAGTTCCTCCCCTACCTTGAGGTCCTTGCCCTGCCTTCAGTTTAGCGAGCTCTTCCCTCCCCTCAGCCTCTTCTGTGAGCTCATTTCCATCTGCTCTGCCCCGGACCATGAGTCCTCAGCCCTGTCTGCTGTATTAGAGTTGAGCTTGCTCTCTCCCCCATCCTGATGGTCTTGGCCTACCATGACGGTCCTGAACAAAGTCTCCCAGCATCCCAACACGGGTCAGAATGGGTTCTCTTTACTGGGCTGTGCAGTCTGCATGTGGAGACCCTTCATGCCATGCACATGGCCCAGAACCCACAGAGACAAAGGAGCCTCCCAGTGCCCATGGACTTTGGGAAGGGGTGTGGGGCTCTCCACCTCGCTGGCTGTCCTTCCACTCATTTTCATCAGCACTGGCCGCCAGCGGGGCCATTCTGCACCGCAGGATGGGGCTCATTCCTGTGCCCCCACTAGGAAAGTGTGGATTATCCCACAGGGCCTTTCTCCTCCTTTCCCCCAAGTCTCAGGAAGGTCACAGGAAGTGAGCACTCACTTTTCTTATCTGTGGTGTTGTGCACAGTCACTGTGGGCACCCCAGGACCTGGATTGGGTGGAGAAGAGAAAGACAAGAGTCATTAGTTTAGTTGAGGAAAAAGAAAGAAAAGGCACTTTTTCTGAGGACACTCAGGTTTGGTGAGCATCGAGAAGCCAGTTTTGAGGGTGAGTGATCAGCAGGAGGAGGATGGAGCCCATGCTGTAGCAAAGGTGTGACACTCTGTCTCTGCACCTGGGACAGTCACGGGCAGCCAGGTTAGGGTGCCATGGGAAATTCTTCCATTAAGGTGGTGCATTCAGTGGGAACCATACTTTGAATCTGGATCTTTTGTCCCCACCCTGACCCTCTCTGTGTTGTTGGGTGGTGGCAGCAAGTGGATCTCCCAGTCACCCTTGAAGGGAAATGAGCAACTCTGCTGCTCCATGTGGTGGAGCCAGGATGGGGGAAGGTGAGGGGAGCAGGCGCATTTTAAATTCAGGGTCTTTTCAACCTCTGAGCTGTTTATACGGACCCGGCCCCATCAGATGCTGAGGAGCATCTGTGTAATATTTTAAAAATATTGCAGTGACACTGAGCACCATCTTATGGGGGACGGACTACATTTGGTTCATATCCTCATAACCTCATTTTTACCATCCAGGCCCAAATCCATGATGGTGTCCTGGGGTCCTGATAAATCACCCACCCCAGCCTCAGTCTTAATCAGATGCCTGTCTGTGCTAGACCCTGCAGGAAGGAAGCCATTCTGTCATCTGCTCTCTTAGAATACTGCACCCAGATTATGAAGGCAGTAGGACCACTCTGAAAGCCTTGTGTCTCAGTTGTCCCTGACATCCCAGGCCTGGGCATTAGGGTCACGGGAGGGAGCATGAAGGTCAGACTCAGGGCACAGTGGCCCCTGGCAGCCTTCTCTATAGGTTCAATTCTCTGTTCTTAGGAAAGGAGAGTCGAGCAAGAAAGAGGGAATTTCTGAATCATGTTTTGTCTTTTTGGAAACATATGTGGGTGTCAGGTGTCTTTTCCCTCCCTCCCTCCCTCCCTCCCTCCCTTCTTTCCTTCCTTCCTTCCTCCCTTCCTTTCCTAGGGATTAAACACAGGGCCTTTGCACTATTCCCAGCCCTTTTAAGTCATTTTATTTTTTATTTTGAGACAGGGTCTCACTAATTCATTGAGTTGCCCAGGCTGGGCTCTAACTTGTGCTCCTACTGCCTCAGCCTCCCAGAGTGCTAGAATTATAGGTGTGCATTACCACACCTGTGCCTTTCTTCTTCTTCTTCTTTTTTTTTTTTTCTGCAAAAATAATTTTCTTTTATTTTAAAGTTAAAACATATTTGGAAATAAAACATAAACTGCACAAATACTAGATGAGAGGTAGATACCTGACCATTAGGGTAATTAAAATATTATAAGGTTTCCATACTTTCTGTGAAGTGAAACAATCTCAATTATAAGTCGATTCTGATAAGAGTGTATTTTGATGCTTTGACTAATAGTTCTGAAAAAGTAATATACAATGATATATAGAAAAGTCTAAGAAGAAAATGGAATGAAATACTGAAAAAAATATTAGATTGACGTCTAACAAGTCAGGAAAAGAGGAAAAGAAAACTTAGATGGGATAAATAGGAGAAAATTTAACATGATGGTACATTAGAACTTAGTCGTATAATAACTATATTAATGAAAATAGATTAAATAATACTACAAAATAAAGATATTGTCTTGATTAAAAGCAACAAGATTCAATTATATTTAAAGAGCTATATTTTAATATGAAGGCATGGGAGATTGCCAGTTGGTTTATGGGACATATATTATGCAAAGGATATGAAAGCTGTAGGAAAAGATTTCATGAACAAAACCTCACTTGCCCGTGAGCTAGCACAAACAATCAACAAGTGGGATCTCTTCTTATTAAAAAGCTTCTGCACAGCAAGAGAAACCACCAGCAGTGTGAAGAGACAACCCACAATGTGGGAAAAAATCTTCACCTGCTCTTCCTCAGGCAAAGGTCTACTATCTTGAATCTATAAAGAACTTAAAAAGATCAGACCTCCCAAATTTAAAGACCCAATCCAAAAATGGGCATCTGAAATGAACAGACATTTCTCACACAAAGAAGTAGAAATAGCAAATAAGCATATGGAAAAAAGTTCAACATCACTGGTCATTCGAGAGATGCAAATGAAAACAACACTGAGATTCCATCTCACCCCAGAAAGAATGGCTGCTATCATGAAATCAATCAATAACCAATGCTGGTGGGGCTGTGGGGAATCAGGTGCCTTTCTTTTCTGACATCACCTCTGTAGCTTTCCTCCCCAAGCCACCTGTCCTTCTGCAGGGCCTGAGGGATGCCATGCTGGACTTCACTGGGCCCACGCTCCTCTGCTTGAAATGCTCTGTCCCCAGACATTGACGTGGCTTCTTTCTCCTCATTTAAGGCTTTGCTCAAAAGTCTTCTTCACCCACACAATCTAAAGGAACCCCTGTCCACAACCATGTGAGCTGCCTCTGTCCCCTCCTGTGGCTTCCTGTCACATATGTGATGCAGGACTTCAGAATACAAATGCTTCCTACTGGGGATTCTGGGCACTCAGAACTGTGTGTAGGGACATGTCAAGGTCTCAGGACATGTAGCCTTTGGGCAGAGAGAGGGCCGGAGTTTTGTATCTCTGGTATCATTTCCTACACACTTCCAGGGACCATGTGACAGTGGATGAGTTGAGAGCCAGGGGCCTGCTGTAGATGCCACTTGGTTTAGAGACCCTTCTGCAGAATGCCAGCACGGATTCCCTTGTTCAGGCCCAGAGAGGATGCTGAGAGTCCCAAAGGCCTCCACCCTGTGAGGCATGGTGGGCCAGGCTTGGCCAGGGATGCAGACAGGTTGTGGCTCTGCTGGGAGACACAGACCGTGGTACATCAGCAATGGACATCAGAGCAGATGCCTGCTCAGGGATACCAGACACCACCCAGTACACATCCAGGTGCAGGAGGCCCATGGCCCTTCCCCATCCATCCAGAGAGGGTGGCCAGGTAAACCCCAGGAAGCTTGTGACAGGTGGATCTAGGATAAACAATGCAGATTCCCTAACTATAAACACATCCTTGGAGAACTTAGGACATACCACTAAAAACCCATTCCTCTGTATCTGAAATTCAAATGTACTGGGGCATCCTGTGTTTCTGCTCCTCTATGTGGAAGGGCAGTGTCTGAGTGTCCACACCCGTGTACCCCAAGAGACAGCGCTTACTGTAAGAGAGCTAAGCACTGACTGTAGGTCCGAATTATTCAGGTGAGATAAGTCTCCTGCCCTCGAATCCAGCGCCCCACGTGGGACCTCATGAAGGAGGAGACCATTTAGGAGAAGAGGAAGAGTCCACACGGCTTCCTGTGTGCATGCAGGGTGAGCACATTTGCAAATTGAGAAGATCTACCTCCTGACGAATAATGTAAATAATTATTATTTATTTAGTGCCTACTCTCTAAAAGGCCCTCTACTCAATGTTTCGTGTGAATAATTTCTAATGCGATCTTCACAGCAGTTCTGCAAGAGATGTTTCTAGCCAGACTTTACAGAAGAGAAAATGCAGGGGTTGGGAGTTTTCAGTCTCATCTCTTCCACACCGGGAAGGAGTTGCTGAGCCTGGGTTAGTGCCTTCTCATTCTTAACTCGTGAACTTAAAACATGTATTCTAAAATCACTCATATACTAAAGAAAAAGATGACATGACAAGAGCCATTTATTTTATCTCCCTTCCAGAAGTGACCCAAATGTTTCTGAAATGTCCCAAAGTGTTTATCTGCAGACAGGTGGTCTTATTTACACATAAACACATATTTCACATGTACAGAGAAAAATAATGTAAACATAGCTGCATGTATCTCTGCAAGTTTTACCTAATCTTAATGTTAAACTATACTTACCCAGGTTGTTATTTAAAAAAAAAAAAGAAACATAGCAGATAGATTGGAGATCACCAGTGTGTCTTTCTCTAATCTCTGTGAAACTACTAGAAGAAGGGCCGAGAATGTAGCTCAGTGGCACTGTGCCTGCCTGGTAAGCGCAAGGTCCTGAGTTCAATGAGGGTGTGTGGGGGGGAACTACTAGAAGAAAACCCAGGGAAAAGTTCCAAGATATTGTTTTGGGCAATGATTTCTTTAGATATAAACCTGAAAGCACAGGCAACAAAAGAAATCAAATAATCAAAATGGCTTGACATCAAACTTCAAAGCTACTGCACAGTCAAGGAAACAGTCAACAGAGTGAAGAGATGATGTGCAGAAGGGGGGAAGAGATCTGCAAACCACACCTCAGATAAGGGTCACTATCCAAAATATATAAGGAACTCAACTTTAAGAAAACAAATAACCCCATTATATAACCAGCAAAGGGTCTGAATAAGCATTTTTTTGATAGTAGATATACCAACACACAACAGATATGTGAAGAAATGCTCACCATCATGAATTATAGAAACACAAATCAAAACCACACTTAGATAACAGGTGACACACCTGTTAGAACAGGTACTAACAAAAAGAAGAAGAAGATGAGTGTTGAGGAGAATGTGGAGAAAGGGAAGCCTTGTGCACCACTGGAAGGAATGTCAATTAGCAGGGCCATTATGGGAAAGAGTATGAAAGATTCTCAAACCATTAAAAATAGAACCACATGGTCCAGGAGCCTCATTATTGGGTGCATATCCAAAGGAAATAAAACCAGAATGGTGAAAAGACACCTGTATTCCTGTGTTCACTACAGCTCTGGTCACAACAGGCAAGATATGGAAATGACCTATGGAAACAATAGTTGGATGAATGGATAAAGAAGATGTAGTGTATGCACATGATGGAATTCTACTCAGCCGTGAAAAGCAGGAAATCCTGTCCTCATGACTACAGGACCCAAACTGGAGGATTTTGTTCAGTGAAAGAAGCCAGGCATGGAAAGGCAAGTAGAGCATGATCCTACCCACAGAAGGTAGAAACAGTGAACCTCCCAGAAGTAGGACACTGGTTCCCAGGGCTGCAGGGGCTGGAA